TGGAGTTGTCGTTCCAATCTCGACCTTTTATACTTCCGAAAAGTGGGCATCGACGGTGATCTCTGGCTAAAATATCCTTTTCGAGCATAAGTTCGTGATAATTGTAATTGTCCTTAAAGCATTTGTAATAATTGCGTAGGTATTGCAGTTTGTATTATAAAAATAGGCACATATTTGAAGTAAGAGCATTGTGATAATGGACTTGCATGGAGTGGTGAATGATATTGTAATGTTGTGCATGTTTTTATTGCACTTTATCGATACAGCAGATGTTTTCGAATGTTCTCAAATGATTAAGAACAGTCGAAAACACATTGTATGAGATGTCTGTCAACATCGATCGCTTTATGTTCGAAAATTTCCTTTCGTGCCTAACGCATGTGCGAGCGTGTGCTCCTCGTAATCAGCAAAAGCGCCAGAATTTATTGGTAGTTACATATCAAATTTCTTTAATGTGAGGCGTGAGGAATTGTTTTGGACCGTTGTTTGCATGTCTGGTGCTGGCCTCAGTAACAGATTTATTTTGTAATCAAACACGGAAGATCTCATGTTTGTCGCAATGGTTGCGCCATTCGGTAAGTAATTATTGCACTTATGTTGTCACGCAACTGCGATTGGTAATATATTCACGACAAACTGAATAAGCGTAAATAAAAAAGACGCATACAAATAAGCGATAATGCTCAGCGCCACAGTCCGAGCTAAGCCGAAGCTAAATTTTCAAACTTGACCTGACGCAACATTTCGTCAACTTGAGCCTTACTACAAACAAGAGTCAGCTCAAAAAAAGCTGAATTCCAACTCAAGTGAGGCTCAAGAGTGCTCTGAACAAGGTGCAGAATTAATCATTGACTGCTGAATTTATGAATGCTTCATCAATTTATTAACAGGAATATGAAAGAACCGAAGAAATACGCAAAATAGAGTGGCTTCTGTCAAATCACCTTAAGAGTCACAAGAGGAACGGAAATTCTCCGCAAATTGATGAATTGAATTAGTTAATTGAATTAGATTAACTGAATTGAACTACATTGAAAAGAAAAGAAAGAGAACAATGATGATCATAAGTTTTAATGCAAATATGAAATCAAACGAAAAGGATACTCATACTCACATGAATCAACTCTGAATAATTCATTACTTGAGAAACATAGAGTTCATTGAACACTTGAAAGTGACTTAATTCAATGAATCACCGAAAGTGTGCTCAAGCAAATAACGAAAAAATGATGTGTCCGCAATACAGATTTTCGACGTTGTTTTACATCACTCTTCGCATCTCCCCTCACCACTCAATCGATACATATCATATTTTCTTTTGAAAATCAAATCCACTTTCAATAAACTTCACATTTTTATAGGATGAGTGAATGCTATTGTAAACGCATCGCATTTCTAGTCTCATTCTATCAATGTAGAAAACAATCATATAATCACGTCCATTCAAGGAAACTACTGTGACTGAATCTCATCTACTTCATTTAAATGTTTCTAATATCGCAGTTCACAATAATAACAAGTATTTAAGTTAAACCAAACCATATCAGTATAATCACCTGTTTTGATTTGTCGCATCTCCTGTTTCCGATCTCAACAAGTACTGTCAGGGAATGCAGCGAAGATGTACCCGGATGAAGTCATCCACCTGTAGACTGCATTCTATCAGTGTTCTTGATCCGTAATGCAGTAAATCTCATTTTTCAAAAGAATGCGTGCTTCACTGTCTACACACCAAACGCTCAATTGCCATCTCCTTGAAGGTGATTCTGCAATTGATCGGAGACCTGTAGAGTACCATCGATTATGTTAATGAATCAGGTAGGGTGGTGCGGTCCTCCACAATCATGCAAAGATTTGGTAGTCAAGTCGTACACTGCTATAGCACGATTAAGCTCACTGCCAAACTCAACGAAACTAAACGATCATAATCAAACATCATTTTGGAAAATCTCTGTTCAAATGCTTTCAAACATAAAAGAGACAATATGAATTTTATAGTTCATGCGTTTCATTCACGGCACACATTCATGACTCTTTCATTGATCGCCAACGCTTCAATCAGAAGAAAGCAGCTTATTTGCGACTGCAGCATTCAACTTCATAACGATTTTATAGATCAACTCATTTTAAAGATAATTATTGCTGTCTCATGTATTATATTCAATTTGAGTGCATTTTATACTACGAATCACAAGTCTGTGTCACACTTTCATTTTTATTTCAGCCAAGAAATGATAGCAATTCATTTAGACATAATCGACGCAATAAAAAACAACCGACAAACGAGAGAACACATTTAAAGAAGGCATGAATGTATACATTCCTCATTTACAGGTAGCCGTTTTTGAGGAAATACACCCAAGAAATTGTAATTGAATAAGCAAGCCAAAAACTCGAACAGAATTTAGAAATCATGGTTAAAATCGAAATTCATTTTAATGATGAATTTAAATCAACCGGCAAAGAACATTTCAAACGTAAACAAGGCAGAAAGGAGCAGCGTCCGAACAACATACTATTCCCAATTCTTGAAGAGTTTGGTCTTCAAAACAACGATTTCATCAGAATCGATAATCTCAGAATATTCAACATACTCATTATTCGCAATTAAATTTCCTCAATTAACAAACTGACGGATCACATGAAAGTGAAGAATTATCAGTGTCAGAAATGAGAGATAACAAAAAGAAATCATCATCTGAAATTCGGCATTTGAAACAATCAAATCACGCCTTTGCTTTCAACTTCTCACTGTGTTTTTCATCAGACTTTCGTTGTGCCTTTTCCTGTGCCTGAAATCACAAAAAAAAATTGTGCGTGATAAAATGATGAAAAGATATGTCAGTTGAACAAGATCAGTATACCAAAAAAATCAATTACGCGTTCGTGCAACTTAGTGAATGCGATAATTTGGTGAATTCAATCATGAAATAACACGAAAATTCCTCAGTTCAAACGGTGCTGATTCTTCAAAAAAAACTCCAAGCAATGCACACCTGCTGTACGAGTGGCACAAGTTTGCCTTCTTTGGCGAGTATTTTGAGCAATTCAACAATGAATGGAATATAATTATGACGACGACGTATGTTTTCAGCTTTATAACTTTTCTCCTTCTCTTCTTCGGCGGCGATTAGCGCTTGTAAATGCGCTAATTGTTCTTGCTCTACGCCCATCTGAAGCAGTAAACGTGAACAATTATAATGACACCGTCTAAATAAATATAGATTATCACTTAAAAGTTGTTATTTTCTATTCAACGATTCCAGTCTCAATGTTCAATCGCTAACCTATAATACGTTATGATTGCTGTGAGTTCTTCACTATCAGTACTATCAAAACGTACAGCAATGAAAATTTCTACGAACAGATTATTCCACTGAGTGTTGTGTTACGGAACTCGCAACACTATAAACTTGTTCCCAGGAACGGCTAACATAATATCAAATCATCGAGAAATGAAACTCTCAAACTCACTTCAGTCAATTCTTTCAGTTGCTTTTGATACTTCATTTTCCGATCCGATATAACGGCCATTAAATTAAAATGTATTTCACCATCGCTGAATCTGCAATTTCACTTATTGAAAAGAATGAGAAGAAGCGCAACATTCGACCACAAATGGATTTGATAAGTTTAAGCTCTAAACATTACACAAATTTACCATATGAAATATTAGCATAATAATAAGAACGCATCCAACGCTCCCACTAAAACAATCAAAACCAAAAACTGAAACAAGCGCAAACAAACTTCTGAATCCTTTTATTAATGATCGGACGGACCAAATCCAGCCAATCCTCTCCTTCCTTAATAACGCCTAAATCAATTGGTGCTGGTCTCAAGCCATCCAATTCATAGATATGACCATCTACCGGAAGATATGTCACAAAATGATAGTTCTCATCCTGAAATCCAATCCCCGAAAGTTTTTTTAATAATCATGTGCACGAACGAACATTATAATGCGACCTCAGCAACCGTTCTAAAACCTCCAGGAAACAACACAAAGTGTAATTGAGGTTGATCAAATGAACACAAGAAATTTCTCCAAAATTCTAAACGGAAAGTGAAAACCTTCTCGGGTACTCGAATATCCAGTTCAAAAAGATGCTGTCTTGCAAAGCTGTTGTGAACCTCACGAATCGGATCACTGTTGCTCAGGCATAGGCCACGATTCTGCAATAAAACTGCTCAGTTCATTGATCAGAAAATAATGCACTGTGAATAACAAAAATTTGCATCCACCCTATTCCCAAGTATTCAACTTCCTATTGATACGGTCCGTTCATTTTTGATGAGAACTTTCAACATTTGATATAAATCGGAACAAGTTTGAAAATTTCTGTTTAGTGAAAGAACGTAAGCGTAATTATTGGTGTTGAAAGCATCCACTTGCGGAAGTGATGATAACATGATAGAGTTAAATAGCTTTTCAACATTGCACACACCAACCATCGGATCAAATGTACACGTAAAGTTTTTAAACTCCTCCAGAATTGGTCCCAACGTTATACCAGAGTCCGGTGGGGCATTCATCAATAAATTAATTATCGCTTGTGTAGCACATGCATTTTGAATCACCTTAAGTCAAACATTCAACAAATGTCATAGAATATGAGCAGACTTGGTTGAAAATGAACTCTGAATTTCAATTCACAGCAAAATACACTGTAAGAGCGAACCTCGGACTGCGGAAGTGATGATAACATAATAGAGTTAAATGGTAACTTTAATAATAATAAAATGAACAGCGATCGAATGACTAAACAGAAATGGAAGAAACCTGTTGCGCAAAATACACTTTACTGTTATCAAGAGCCAATTCGCCGGACGGCTCATCACCAGCGCGCCATTTGAATAAAAATATTAATCCATACACTGGTCTAAAATTATACAACCAATCCAATTACGTTCAAATATCAACGAAATGCGTCTTATTCACCTCTCAAGACATCACTTGCTCTAATGTACATTCACAATTGAATAGAAAAACTGCTGCGTTGGATAGCCTACTAAAAGACAAAATCTGATGTTCTTCTTCTCGTTGACGCGTGAACAGAAAATTCACTGAAAGACTGCTCAGTAAACAGTGATGTGGTAAACATTTCAGATTGTTACTGAAGACTCAATGTAAAATCATTCTGAAAAGACCATCGAAGTATATCCCAATAAGAAATGCCTACTCCGAACATGTATGAATTTGTCATATTCAGATAAAGGTGAACAATGAAGAACCAACTTCAGCTCAGTGAACTGTTCCTTATCAAGACTATACAATTCTTCAACTTGTAATCCAACAACGCCAAATCCACGAATAAGTTCCGTGAAAACGCCTGGATCTGATTCAATTAAACACCAATTTCCAGCATCACTCATCCTTTAAAACTACTTCGATCTCTGATCACCTTCAAATTATTTCATTAATGGGAGACTCGCAAGTATAACACTTTTCATAATATATACAAAAACTTTATTCGTATGAATAGAGTCAAGCATAACTCTAAAATATGATGCTATTAATAAAGCAATGGCAGTCACAATCATCATCCACTAAAATACTGTCATTCAGCATAAAGTGCGTTTGCACCGCAAAAGCAGACTCTCGCTTGTTCGAAGAAGAAAGCAACGACCAGAACCACTAACAAGCTGGATGGCGATAAAATAACGCTCGATAACGAACAGTGAACAAGTTCAAATTCGACGAAAACTTTTATTTGCAATGGTTCGAAATAACGAACACGATTAATATACGTAAATTTGAAACATTCCATGACTCCATGCATCAACGGGGATATATCAATTAAAACAAATCAAAACACATAAAATAATAAGATAATCAACTGAAGTTGATTCTGATCAACAAAGTGTCTTAATTCAACATTAAACACACGGTCAGGAAACGACAACGTTTCAAGTGAACAACATCCTGCTTCATCATCTCCAAAACAAATGCTTCTTTCCTTGCATTTTTACCACCTATGATGTCAAGTTCTAAGTTGAATTTTTCCTGCTTGCTACTCTTCTTCATTCGGATTGCGTTTTCTAAATAAATAAAACAATCCTTCATTTTCCCTTTTTTTTGAGGTTTCAAGAGAAAGACAGACCGAAGCATTTCAAGAGGAGTATTTTTTAAGCGAAAACAACACACAACTCGAACTAATCATTTCATTCCGATTCGACACTTCAAAACAATATACAATAGTACGTGAACGGTTACAAAAGAATGTATGAGAACAAATCACGTTTTAAAAATGATACAAATGAAAATTCATTCAAAATTCAACTTCGGACTTCGCCAATCTTTCTTTACGCATTCTGAAACGATGATGAAATTAGAATCTTTTTTAAAAAGAAAGAAATCCACTTTTCAACAAAAATGCACGTGATGAGTATTCTTCAATGTACACCTATTATCAGTAAACAACCGCTATCACTTTTCCACATTACTGCAACATAATATGATAACATATGCCATTCAATCTCACTCAATGAAACAGAACGTTTTGCCCGAACGTTCAATAAGATGAATGTTAACTTGCGAACAAATATTCACTGTTGATGAGTGAACATTTAGGTAGTAAAATGAGGCGAGTAGTAAAAAAAGGATACTTTTTTGCTTTGGAAGGACAACGCTGCTTGTGTTTACGGCAGTGGTGGTGTCGTAGATGATGATGGCATTTGTAGGAATGACCACCGTGCTTCCTTTTTCGATCTGATGACGAGGAGAGCTGAGTGCTACTCGCTGATGACCGTTCGTGTGAATTACCTTTTCTTTAAATCAAGAAGTTGCATCTATTCGCATTCACTCACTACTTAATTCATTGAATCATTTCTTATTTCAAAATGAATGCTACAATTTAACGCGTTTTGCATAGATTTTTACGCACGTTTTAAATCTGATACTGAGAAGATCTGATCAGAATTCACAAACGAATCGATTAACGACAACGCTGAAGAAAATCGAAAGAAAGGAAAATATTGGAACAGACTTATTGCAGTAGCAAAGAGATCAATGGTTCCAAGTGAAAATACCAAAAATATACATACACGGAAAGGAAACAAATTCTACCTGACGTCTCTTCGTTGTTTATCTCTGTCCCTCTCTCGTTCCTTTTCTCGATCCCTGTCTCTATCCCGATCCCGATCTCGTTCTCGATCCCGAGTACGATCTCTCTCTCGTTCGCGATCCGGCGATCGACTCCTAGTTCTTCGTCGATCTCTGACCCTATCCCTCTCCCTTTCCCGTTCTCTATCTCTGTCTCTTTCCCTTTCCCTTTCTCTATCCCGATCTCGATCAACACGTTCTTCCCGATCCCTAAAACATTTTGTTGAGATGAAAACAAAGCTGCAAAGAAACAAGAGTAATTCATCAAGAATAAAGTCGACTGTAAGTCAAATAGTGAGATGTAACAACGATTCGAAATTCTTCACAAACATTGTTATATCGTAACACGGCTTCAATTCGTAACTACTAGTTCAGTTATGAAATACAATTTATAGTATTGTTTCACGTCAAAAGAGAGGAACATATTTCGCTGGAATAACGAGACGTCCGCGATAAGACGAACGCTGAATGCTGACAACACCAGCGAATAATGAAATTCTCTGATTAAATTTTATCAATAAACCTTTCGCTTCTTTCACGATCATATTCTGCCTTAGCGCGTTCACGGAACTTTAATTCGATATCTTTCTGCAAAAACACCGAAACAATATTTTAAGAAGCTGCACCACCGACTTCATCAAATGACATTTTCGTTTTACAGAGCAATCAAAATTTTGAAAATTCTTTGTTAAAACATGAAAACAGGGTTATTAGACAATTGAATAAACAATAAGCTATTTTGAGAAGTGGTAACTCAAACTGAATACAAAGCATATCAAATGTATTTAATGAACGAAAAACTACACAATCATACTAAGTTGTACTTAATCAATTCAACCGATGCGATTCAAACACCTTTCTATTACTGCGAATGCAGCGCATCATGCAGACACCGTATGGTCTATCGTATGGAAGAACTTGCGTCAAAAGTCACCTGAATGGGCACTGGAATACGAGGAAAGAGTGTGCCATACCAATCGAGTTTTGTTAACATCATTTTCACAACTTGTGCCATCGACATTACGTCCCCGCCTCCACTCCTCGGATCTATTTGTTCTTCATCATCCTTCAACAGCACACTAAGAGTTACAACGAAAGACCATTCCATATTAATGCCCCATATTCACACTGCTAATGGTACTATCAATCCACTGATCGTTATCGTTAAGGGAATTGTGACATTCGAAACATTTCTTTACTTGACGCACCAATTCGAACGCAAACATCATTAACGCAAAATTTCCTCATGTGAGTTACTGCAAAACATTCACTCACAAATGAATGAACATGGCAGCTGCAATGCAAAAATATTCAAAGCATTGTTAATCGAAAATAATTTGGATGAAAGGTATCTATAGCAACAGAAAATTGAGTGATAAACTTAAATGCAATGAGGTTCACCAACCAAATAAGGTTCCATCCACGTCCACAAATCAGTTGGTGGCTGACAGAAACGAATATACATAAATCCAATTCCTCTAATATATGGCGAATCTCGATTATTGATCATACTTACGAGCTGCTTTCTACAATAAGAAGAGATGCCATTATGATGGATGCACAATTTTGTTCAGTCAATTAATGATTAATTTTCTGGAATCAATTTCATTGTTTGACGAACGCGAACATATTCAAATGACGAGCGGTGTGAACGAACTGATGGTGAAATATAGTCTATCGAACGCAAAACTGATGTTGCATTCAGAAGCCGTGTGGTGGGTGATAAAGGCTAAAGATGATGAATATCAAACTGATCGCTCATACCTCGTCAGCCTTATAGTGAACAGCTTGTACAACAGGCAAAAGGCTGTGCTAACCACACCACCTGCGCCTACACCTCGAACCTAAACGAAAAAATTGTTTGCTTAATGTTATTTTACACCACCTTGTCTTTATTAGTGCACCTTTCAATATTCATACTCATCTGGGATAATGTTCGACAACTACCAATCCCGATATCAAAACTTGGATCAACCCTTCTCCCCCATGAAATAGCACCGATTTTCTCACGTACTGTAAATGTATAATCAAAAATAAATTTTCGAATATTTCAAAGGAACTCTCCATAAATTATTCGGAAAAAACAGCAATACTGACGCATGATCGGCTGACAATAACATCACAAACAACGCATTGAAGTTATCATTCCTGGGTGTGATATCACCTATTTTTACTCGAATGAAACGTCGATCCAAATCAGTTTGATACGAGTTACGTTTGAATTGATGAGTAACTGAGTGAACGTTATCTCAATCAAATCGAAAAAATCCAAATCAATAAAAAGTTAAAAGTACCACTGAATCGACTGACCCCGCCACACATGCCAGTCATGCCTTGTGTCTTACGTGTGCCCCGCTCCCATGGCTCTAAGTGTTTCACCTGCAATTTTCATTGAGATTTTCATAAATAATGTGTTCTCAGTGGAAAGCGACAAAATTTTAAACATATGTAAACCCCTATTTGATAAAAATTTGATAAACATAAAACGAATGAAAAGTTGTAAAGTGAAAAAATCGGTTTCTTTTATTCTTCCCCAATCACTGTGAACAATGAGTGAAAAAGCTTAACCGATGTATTTCTTGAGATCTTTCATGGCAGAATACGTATTTGCGTAAGAGATAAACACATTTTCGTTACAATTACATGGTTCGTGAAGAGAAATATGAAATGCATATTCGTTTCATTGGTTATTAATGCTTGATCATTAAACGATTAAGTAATCAAATTGTTGGAGAATGGTATTGGAGAGAACATCAAACAACAAACATTGTAATAAATCTCCTCCGTGAGTTGTTGGAATCCAGTCGTTTCGGCAAGATAATTCTTGTAATATGTGCACTGAATAATATTTTCAAGAACGAGTGCATTCAAATTCATCGACTGTGTATTTCCCCACAACGGTAGAATGTTATTCTTCTTTGTTATCTTCTGAAATGCTACTTTCATGAACACTGCTCCAAAGCAACCATCAAACTGATAACCCAGGATAAGACACCGCAAGATTTTCGATTATGGATCTCTTCTAACATACTTAAGTTATCGATATTTGCGGAACAGAGAAATATTTTCAATTTGAAATCCATTCAACGTCGGACGCTATTCCTTATCGAATGAAGCGATAGCAGCTTTATCCAAAAGTAGCGAAATATGTATGGAACTGACCTGAATATCCGGAATAGTATTATCAGTGAGATCATCTTCGTACATAACTTCTCCACCCGTATTCAACCCTGCCGCCAGTAGAGCCGCTGCACCTCCATCTGCTGCTGACATACCGATAAACTTGATGAACAACCGCTATTATGTTAATTTTACAAACTTTCTGACCTCGAGAATCGCAGCACGCCAATTCTATCTGGATCACCAACAAATACGTCCGCCACAAGTCCGACAAAAATGATAAGGCACGCGCATGCCACTCAATGATGAGACGTCGGAGTTGCGCTTTGTCGCGAAACAAATTGTCGTAGACCCACTTCTCTTGTACAATTAAGATGAGTATTTCGTCACACACCTGCTACTTTCACCACAACTTAAAAAATACCAGCAACAGATTCTGTTCGCCAAAAAAAATCTTGTTACAGCAAAACTGATGTATTAGGATTTTTTTGAAGTCTTTTTTCATTGAGTGTTTTTTTGGTTGCACTTAGAGAAGTTAGTGTAATTGATCAAACGATGTGGAATGTGCAATATATGCATCCAAATCAGGCTAACGCTGGCCTTCTCCTTTCCCTTACTTTACGCTTTAGCTGTGAACACTTATCCATTCGAACAAAGTATTTTATACTATTTCAACTCAAGATGCGTCATCACTCTTTACCCACCTCCCCCCCCCCCCCCCCCCCCCTCCCCTCCTAATTGAATACAAGCTGAAAAATAGTGCAAATTATAGACTTAGAATTAGCAACTGTTCCAACAATAAGACGAATTGATGTTATATCATTCGTTAGATCATTTACATTTATCATTACACAGTTTAATGTGGGCTGTATTCTGCTAGCAATTTTGACATGAAGCCATTCAGTGAAGCTGCACGATCCTATAAGATCAGTGCTCTAATTAGTTGATTGCTTCATTCTCCTTGTTCATTTCGTAACCCAGTGATATTCCACTCAAAAATGCTCTGTAAGAGTCTGTTCGTGTTATGCATCCTATCATTAAGCCTTATTGGGAATCCAGTCATGGCATCCGTGCAGGCTCGGATACCTGATAAATTTATGGGTTCATTCAAGTTGGATCGTAGTGAAAACTTCGATGAATTTCTCGCTTCCAAAGGTGAATTTTTGACACATCAATTATAATTTAGTTCAGCTATGCTAAAATGATTGTTTAGAAAGATCGCTCGCTAAAAATAGAAGGAATTATTGCATGAGGAAAATATTCTCAATTTACTTTCGATCCAAATCAGATGCCTCAGGAGAGCATCATCAGGTGAATGGCAATTCGAAGTTTTTTCAAAACTAACGTGCAAAAAGGTTAAAACATTCGACTACTTTCAGGTGTTAATTGGTTCATAAGGAAAATGATCCAGTTTGCATCACTAACGAAGACATTCAGTGTATCAAAAACGGATCCGGATAATGCTTATGATGCAGCAAATTTATCATCCAAAAAAAATACACATTTCAATAACTGGAAACTAAACGAAACATTCACTGCTGAAGGAATGGACGATAAGATGCATCGGGTCTTTGACTAAACAATGCTTCTTCATTTGCTACATCTCATTTTGAGCACTTTGATTCTGTATATCGTTTCATTTACTGTTCATCCGAGCGATGTATTCATTATCGCCATTTTCTGGTCGTAAAAAGCTTAGCAATTTCGAACTGTGACTGCCAACGAATGGTTGAGCTTAGTGGTCTGATCCGGTTACGTTCTCATTGTGAGGGCACTTTGGCTTTAACGATGAGCTGAAAGTCAGAATCTTTGAGTTTCTTTCTGCTTTGACTGCTTCGTTGAACAAGCAAATGATATTTTAGAACAAGTTAATTGAACAAGATCTGAAGTATTACAATTCCATAATACTTCAGTGGCACAGATATTCTGTTGACTAATGTTGAAAATTAGTAGCAGTGATAGTAGTGGAATGCAAAATTAAATGTTCCAGATAACGTTCAATTTTGACGACAAGAACGATACTTTGACGGAAACACACATACGAACAGACGATCCGAATGATAAGGGTGAAACTTATTACTATACTATCAGTGGAGATGAATTAGTCATGGTTAGTTTCTCACTGGATTTGACTTTTTGTGAATTTCGTTAAGATAATACGACGCTTTTTCCAGTTTCAAAATTAACATAACAACAATTTTGAGACGTGATCGAATGGAATTCGGTGCATTGAAGCGATGATTTAGATCGATTTAAATTTGATCTGACTTTCTCTTCCGATGAAAGTCGTGCATAAAATTTTTTGAACTAATTTCACACTTTCAGAAAATCGCAAACGATCAAGTGACATGTCATCGTTATTTCAAAAAACAATCCTCATCGTGAACCGACATCACTGTCTTTTCAGTTGTTTCAACATTCGCTTCTCATTTCAGTAATTAATGCGACTTCTTGTTCCCTTCAACGAATGCAGTTCTGACTTGGTTCTTGAGCAGTGTAATAAGTGAATCGTATCAGTGAAAACTCGCAAAATTGACCAAACCAGTCAGCATTTTAACTGTTGTGAATCGAACATAAAAGATGATCTCTCTGAAAAGAATAATATAATTTTAGTTCACTTCATCACTTTATATATATCTTCAACAGTTTATAAATGAAGTAAAAACAAGTGGATTAATTTCTATTTATGAGTTTATAAATAAAGTAAAAACAAGTGGATTAAAATCATATTTATTATAAAGGGTGTAATGAAGTTCGTCGTCGATAGAGAAACAGTTCTTGATTTTTTGACACTTCAAATTGAATAACATTTGCAATTTTTTCATTGATTGCTTTTGATGCCTATGAATTGACTTGTTGCTTGTGTATGTTTCTGATTATCGGAAACTTTCGAAATGAGTATTATATTTCAACTCAAATTATTGAATAAACGTCCCAGCTTCGCTATCTTTATGTTTTGACTTGAATCGTTTCATAGAATTGATGTTTTGGGAATTCGAAAACTGCAATGGTTACAACTGCATTCAAAACACTCGTGTCAAAAATTCCAACATTACTAGATTCATAGCAACAATCATATTTTGCATAGACAACATTCAGACCTTCAGGCAGTGAAAAAACGAGTGTGCTGATTTAAGTAGGCAGTGACTCAAGATGTTTTTTAAGTTATGTTATATCCGTATGTTCTATGACGATTAAACCCGGTATAATCGAATGTGAATCATGACTGCTGACTTTCTGATCGAAAATTGTCATGAACATTACCTGGAACTGTTCAAATGTTCATTCGTCAATTCAGAAAGGTGAAATGAGAGAAATCGACTGGAGAAGTCGATGGTGGAGAGAAACAATCATGTCGCAGTGCAAACCTGAGTGTATCTTTAGTTTGAATATAATGATCCTGATATTACTACACTCTTGTGCTTATTGAAAAATACAAATGCAGTGAATTGGAATGAGCGGCTCAGACACTTGAAATAACATCAGAAAATCATCAGTAATAAAATAACTACATCTCCTCAACTAACCAGAGTCGCCCGACAAAATATATATTTTTCCGAATCCGGAGATTCTGCTCGATCGATTGGTGTGAAGAAATTCATATGTTGCTGGTCAGAGCTGAGAGTACGGTAGGCTTGAATGTGATAACCCCTATAGCATCACAAAAATTGCTATATCTCCTCGAAGGAGCAGAATTTCTTGGCAAGGTTTTCAGTTGTAGAAAGCAGAGA